ATGAGTATAGCATGTAGTGGTGAAGTCCAGGTATTTAATGTAACCATCACTCAAATAATGTACCTTGTATCCATTAAATAATTTTTCATCCCTCAGCCCCCTCCCACCCTCCCATGCTCTCACCCTTCCAAGTCTCCAATGTCTGTAATTCCACTCTCTATGTTCATGTGTATGCATTATATAACTCCTACTCATGAGAATGTGCAGTATTTGACTTTTTGTTTCTGAGCGATTTTATTTCAGATAATAGTCTCCAATTCCATCCACGTTGCTGCAAAGGATATTTTATTTTTTATGGTTGAGTAGTATTCCATGGTATTTAGATATCATATTTTCTTTATTCAGTCATCCATTGAGGAACACTTAGCTATTGTGAATAGTGCTGTGATGAACATATGAGTGTAGTTATCATTTTGATATGATGATTCTTTTCCTTTGGGTAGATATCCAGTAGTGGGATGGCTGGATTGAATGGTAATTCTATTTATGGTTCTTTGAGAAATCTCCATACCGTTTCTCATAAAAGTTGCATTAATTTATATTCCCACCAAAAATATATAAGCATTCCCTTTTCTTTGCCAATATTTGTTGTTTATTTGACTTTTTAACAACAGCCAATCTGACCTGTATAAGATGATATCTCATTGTGGTTTTAATTTGCATTTCTCTGATGATCAGAGATGTTGTTACTGAAACCTTCAGGGGGTGCCTGCCTAGGTCTAGTTGCTCACCACACAGAAAGCCAATTACTGAGACAATGAGGATTGTTTAGGAAGAAAGGAATTTTTTAATATGGATGTCAGCTAGGAGACAGAAGAGAGCAGTCTCAAAACTGTCTCTCCAACTAACAGAGAGTAGGGGCTTTTAGAAGGGGTTAAGAAATGCAGAAGTTATTGAGGGCCTATGTGCACTGGGGCAGGTTATGTTGAAATTAATGTAGGCTAGTTAGTGAGGGATGGTGAGTCTTGTTATTGGGGAACCTGCAGCAGGAGCCTTCAGAATCATAACTCTTTTATCTTTGAAAAAAATCCACTGTTTCCTGGAAACAATTAAAAGACTCAAGTAGTTAAGAGTTTTAGGGTTCTGGTCATCAAGCTCTATTGGCCTGGGAATCCAAAGCCTAAGAAAGCTACAGGGAAAACATGTATGGGTGTTTATCCTGTGTTTGTTCATAGGACAGGTTATAATGTTGAACATTTTCTCCTATGCTTCTTGGCCACATGTCGTCTTTGTATGTCTTCTTTTGAACATTGTGGGGAGCAAGGGCATGCCTCTAACCCCCACTAGGGAGAGACAGTGATATAAAATGTAACCAAAATGCTTGTACCCTCATAATACCCTGAAATAAAAAATAAAAGGCCAATAGGATGGGGGAAAAATGTCTATTTATGTCCTTTGCATACCTTTTTTCCCTTTTCTTTCTTTTATTTCAGCATATTATGGGGGTACAAATGTTAAGGTTACAAACATTGCCCTTGTCTCCTCTCCCCCCTCGAGTCACAGCTTCAGGTGAATCCATCCCCCAGGCGGTGTGCATCACACTCACTATGTATGCATATACCCGTCCCTTCCTCCCCCTCCTACCTGACCCACACCCAACAAATGTTTGGTTTTTTTTTCTTAACATATGGTTACATTTTATGTCTTTGCCTCTCCCTAGCAAGGGTTAGAGGTATGCCCTTTCCCTCCACAATGTTCACCACATCCCTCAGATGTGGGCCTACCCCTCCAACCCCTGAATCCCTGGTAAACACCACCACCCTTTGAGCACCATAGTGTTAAATCATTCAGTACCAATTTGATAGCGAGTATATGTGGAGCCCATTATTCTGATCTTGTGTCACCTCACTTTGGATAATGAGCTTAAGCTCAATTCAGGATAAGTGATGCTAGCTCACTGTCAGTTTCTTAGAATTGAGTAGTATTCCATTGTAAACATATACAAAATTTTAATAATCCACTCATGAATTGACGGACACTTGGGTTGTTTCCATGTCCTTGCAATAGTGAATTGTGCTGCCATAAACATTCAGGTGCAGATGTCTTTATAATAGAATGTCTTTTGCTCTTTTGTGTAGATGCCTAATAATGCGATTGCTGGGTCGAATAGTATTCCTATTTTTAGCTGTTTGAGGTATCTCCAAATTCTTTTCCACAGAGGTTGCACTAATTTGCAGTCCCACCAGCAGTGTAGGAGTGTTCCTGTCTCTCCACATATTTGGGGGGGGGGGTTGGTGAGTTGTTTGAATTCCTGATAGATTCTGGAGGTAAGTCCTTTGGTCAGATTCATAGTCTACAAATAGTTTCTCACATTCTATAGGTTGTCTGTTCACACTGTTGATTGTTTATTTACTTTTTGCTGTGCATAGGCTTTTTCATTTAATTGCCAATTGTCTATTTTTGTTGTTGTTGCATTTGCTTTTGAGGTCTTTGCTATGAATTATTTACTTAAGCCAATGTCCAGAAGAAGTTTTCCTAGGTTTTCTTTTAGAATTTTTGTAGTTTCAGGTCTTACATTTAAGTTTTTAATCCATAATGAGTTCATTTTTGTATATGATGAGAGATCAGAGACAGGGATCCAGTTTTATTCTTCTGCATATGGCTATAGAGTTTTCCCAGAATCATTTATTGAAAAGGATGTCTTTTTCCCAGTGTATGTTTGTCGTTAACTTTGTTGAAGATCAGCTGGCTGTAGGTATGTGGCTTTATTTCTGTGTTCTCTATTGTTCCATTGATATGTGTCCACTTTAATACCAGTACCTTACTATTTTAGTGCATATACTTGTAATGTAATTGAAGTCAGGTAATGTGATGCCTCTAGTTTTGTCCTTTTTGCACAGGATAGCTTTGGCTATTTAGCCTCTTTTTCAGTTCTGAAAGAATTCTAGGATTTTTTTTTATTTCTGTGAAAACTGACAATTGGTATTTTGGTAGAAATTGCATTGAATCTGTAGATTGCTTTAGGGAGTGTGGTCATTTTAACAATATTGATAATATTGACTCTCCTGATCCATTAGCATAGATGTTATTATATTTGTGTCCTCTGCAATTTTTCCATCAGTGTTTTGCAGTTTTCCTTGTAAAGATCTTCCACCTCCTGGGTTATATATATATTCCTAGATGTTTTACTTATTTTTTTGCAGCTATCATAAATGTGGTTGTGCTCTTGACTTGATTCTCAGCTTATTGTTATTGGTGTATAGAAATGCTACTGATTTCCATACATTGATTTTGCATCTGGAAACTTTACTGAATTCATTTATTAAATCTATAAGTCTTTTGGCAGAGTGATTAGGGTTTTCTAGATATAAGATCATATCCTCAGCAAACAAGGATAATTTGACTTCCTCTTTTCCAATTTGAATACTTTGTATTTCTTTTCTCTTGACTGAGTGCTCTGGCTAGGACTTCTAGTCCTATGCTCATTACAATTGGTAAAAGTGGGCATCCTTATCTTTTTCCAGTTCATAAGAGAAATGCTTTCAATTTTTCCTCATTCAATATGATGTTGGCTTTGGGTTTGTTGTATATGATTTTAATTATTTTTAGGTATGTTCATTCCTTTTATGCCTAATTAATTGACAGTTTATATAATGAAGGAATGCTGAATTTTATTGATGATTTTTCTGCATCTATTGAGATGATCAGATCACATTTTTTAAATTCTGCTTGTGTGGTAGATCACATGTATTGATTTGTATATGTTGAACCATCCTTGCATGTCTGAAATAAAACCCACTTGATCATAGTGTATTATTTTTTTTCTTTGAAAACTTTATTTCAAATGCCATAATTGGACAAGTGCTTATGCCTTCTCAAGTTTTTTTTTTATTTCAGCATATTATGGGGATACAAATGTTAAGGGTATGTACATTGCCCTTGCCTCACCTCTCCCCTCGAGTCAGAGCTTCAAACGTGTCCATCTCCCAGATGGTGTATTATCTTTCTGATGTGCTGTTGAATTCCATTTGCTAGTATTTCATGAGGATTTTTGCATCTATGTATTTATTGCACTTTTTCACATTGACAATTGTATACTTATTTCCAGGTGAAACAGAATTTTATGTTTTCTGATTTTTCACTTGTAGTTTCATTTTATTATGATCATAAAATATTCACAACATTGCAAAAATAATAGAGTGTTCAAGAAATTTAGAAATACATGAAAAATGAGTTTTAATATTAAGTTTCCTCTATGGTTTTCAATTATACATCATGATATAAATGATATAGCTTATATATATAAATTTGTCCTCTAAATGATATGTTTATTTACCTACAGATGGCAACACTCTCCTCTGAGAATAATTTCATAAATCTCTTAAAGAATTTAGAACCATTAGGATCATCATATATTTTTAATTTATATATGTATCGATTCAAAATAGACACAATTTTATCTAATCTGCTACTTTTTATGCTTTTAAAGTTCATAAAACTAAAAAAAAAATAAAACAAATATGGCTTTGTGATGAAACTATTTTTACGTGGATGAAGTCTTTGAATTCTCAATTTTAAAAGCACAAAAAAATAGAAAACCTTTTCTAATGAAAACTTTCCATGCCATGGGTAAGGAAGAGTCATACAATACAAACACAGTATTAATTTAAAACATAAAGATATAACATTGTATTATTAGAAAGTGTTTTATAAATATGTGGGCTCAATTTTCAATATGTAAGAAAACGATAGTAGAACTGTCCTTGTTAAACTGAACAGATGATTGATCATACTTAATTCAGTCTGTAGCAGCCAGTGTAGAAAGTAGTAGATTTTAAAAATACATATATACATAAATTACATATGTTACATATTGTATTGGACATTATTATATTATCATATTATATAAATATATATTTTTTGAAATACATATATAAATACATATATATGTTATACTGTAATTAAGAATAGATATACCAAAACTGAGGAAGCAAAGACAAGCATAAGGAGAATTTTGAATCTTTAAAAGGAACACACATGTACTTTTATAGGCAAATGAGAAAATCAAGGTTAATAAAATCCATACAAATATTAGACTTAGTAGTCAGTATATAGAAAACAAGAATTAATAGTAAATTCCAAAAATAAAATCAGTAGCAGGTAAAAAAGTTTATTTTCTTTTCCATTTAACGAAATCCACTGTAGACCTCAGTGGTATATATCACTTTGCCGAAGACAAGAAGCTAGCTCAGTCCCTAAAGAAACACGTCAGTTAGTGTGCGATAAGGTTAATATACATAGCATTGTATTTAATAAGGAGACTTCCAAAACCTAATACTTCCATATAATTAAGCTTCAAATGAGCTGCATTAAAAATTGAAAATGACTGGAAAACTATTTTGTGTATCCATTTTGTGCCAAGTCCCTGACTACCTCAAGAGTGGCACATGTTCAGGATGGCTCCAAAGAAGGATAACAAAAGCTTTGTAAATTGCACTGACACTGTAACCCGCACCCATGTGGAATGATACAGAACTTACACTCTGAACTAAACCGAAACACAGAGACGAATACATTCAATTGAGGAAGGCAGCTTTTCTTATTGTAGTAAGAAGTGCTGAGCCACTCTCGGGATTTCCTGCATTATTTAGAAAACTCAGGGCAATTTTCAGGTTTCATTATATCTGTGAGTTCTGGGGCATAGGAGATGAGCCTTTCATTTGTCCATTACCTATAAAAGACATATTTATTTATTGCAGTATGACCCTAGCTCTGCAAAAGTCTTTGCAGCTTTGTCTGTTCTCCTCTCTGCTGTTCACTTAGAATAAGACACTTGAAGCTGTAACAAAAAGAAAGGAAAGATGTGAGAACTGTGAAGTTTCATAAAAGTCCATGAGGGTCCTCTATGAAGCGAATCATATTGAAAGTTTACAGAAAGGACCTATGACAGACGGTAGCCTCTATATCTCCCACATTTCCCAGTTACACTTGATGCCTTTGAGGAAATGGCCTTTACTCCTGGCTTCTAGTACATACTATGAAAAATTTTTCCTAGGGAGGAAAAAAAAGGAATCCACTCCTTGTGGCTTGTGAATGGTGAACACACCTCAGTTGTCTCCCCCTAGGTATGAAAATCACAAGGGCCAAGATCTCAGCCACATTTAGGGAAAGGACAGGACTATGGTTGGCCTGCACATCAACCCTTCCTTGGGGACAGAGCCCTGCCTCCGCCTTGCCCTGTGCCTCTTGGACAGGAGACAGGCCAAAGAATAAACCTAGAAGGGCTGTGAATCTCCTTGGCTCAGCCAAATTGCCAGGCAGGTCTTTGCTCCTGATCCCTCACAAGATGTGGGCAGGACCCATTCTCTTATTTTGTCATCAATCAAATGTTTCGTTTCTGTGTATGTATTCTTCTGAAAGAAATTCTTCACCAGAGGGTTACTAAACTTTGGGAGGTATCTGTTATGAAGTTCCCTGATATTGATCCCCTCCCCTATTCTTAGAACTCTGAATCCCAAGTATTTGGGGGTACTTTCCTACCCATGGAGCCCTCACCTCTTCTACAGTCCAGCCCACAGCAGTTTCTACTTCCAGTGAATCTCCTTTTCTCAACTCTAGTGCTGGAGATGATACACTGGTGTTCATTGTTCTTTAGTTTGTATAAGGACATATTACTCTTCTGTGTGGTGTAGTCTGCCATCTTCTCCTTCCTTCTGGGGAGAGCAGTGGATATTATTAAAAGGGATTCTCTGATCTTACTGGTGGTGTGGTGGGAGTGGTGATGGTGGTAGGTATATGTAAACAAAGGCAGGTTCTACAGCTGCTTATAGAAGATGAAGCTTCCTCAATAGAGTCTGGACTGCCTCAATTCCTTTCTTTTAGGGGCTGATAACACAGTCCATTTGTTTGTGTGAGGATGTCGTTTTCAGGTCAATATGTTTTTCCTTATTGTATGCCATTGTCTTGATTTTCTTCATCTTCCTCCTCTTTCTCTTCCCTTTCCTGTTTCTTTTGCTCTTTAGCCAGGCCCTGGCAAGATGGAAAGCATGGCAGCTAAAGCCCTCATTCACTCCATGCTCCACATGCTTCTGAAGGGCCTCCACACTGGGGAAGACCCGGCAGCAGGCCATGCACCTGAAGCCACTGTCCAGGGCCACCAGCCATTCAGGTGTCCTGGCCCTGGAACTCTCCTCCAGAACTGGAGGCTCTGTCAGGCTATCAGCCCCTTCCCTTTCCTCTTGGGCTTTGCTGTCCAGGTTGGACTCACTGTCAGTTAGGAGTTCTTTCACAGACCTGAGAGAAGGGGTAACTTCTCTATGGATCTTCTCAGGAAAGGTCATTTCTTCTATTCTTATCTTCTTTCGTGGGGGCTCCAGTTCTTTCTCTCTATCCCATAAGACAGCCACACCCCTTTTCATTTGGACATATGTGTAGTAAATTTTCATGGCTGTTTCCTTTTTCATATGTACTGGGGACATAAAGGACCTGTTGGCTAAAGGGAAAGGAAAATAGACATGTGAAAATGCAGAGGAAGTCTACCATTGCTCAAGACCCTTGGGTAGAGCATCTTGGAGGACCCAAGAAAAGGAGCATCTTGACGTAATTGATGGTTTACTAGGAAAGGAAATTTCAAACTTAAGTCAACTTGAATAACTGTATGTGAAGTCTGTAGGAGTTAACATTGCAATAAGAATATCTTTGTGTGTGTACATGTGGAATGGGAGCATATTTATATGTGATGTTTAGAATTCTGTATGTGGTATTATTTGAAATGTGTACTTGGCATATGTATATAGGGAATGAGTACGTGGTCTGTCTTGTGGAGTTGTATGTATGTTGTGGTACATAGCGGTTGGTATTTCTGGTGTTGGTAAAAGAGGATGGTAATGAGCATACATATGTGCATTACATGGTCGGACAGTACACGTGAATGAGTGCAGATGTGATGCATGTTCTTTGTTCAACTGAGAGATAGTAAGACGTGGAGTGTTAGAGAAAGTGCATTTGAGGTCTCAGAATGTGCAACTCTATGAAGGGCTGAAAGCATCATGGATGAAGTGGCACATCAGTGAGAAAGACTATATATGAAAGCGCATTCTCTTCAGGACACAGAAGTTTTCCAGAGTTCGGTCTAGCGTGAGGGAATTAAAACCTTAACTATGTGAGAGCATGTGAAGTATTTATGGGATTAGTATATGGAGGGGTGAGTCTGGGCACTGTTGTATGCAGGAATGAGGGGGGCAGGGTATATCTATGCAACGCTACTAGATAACGGGAAAGACTGATGGAGAGTGAAAGGACATTTGAGAGTAGATGAAAGGAAGGAGAAGCAGGTCATGCATGTGTGAAGGAGTGTAAGTTGTGAGTATGTGCAGACATGAGTTTGTGTGGATCTGAGGGAAAAGGTTCTGATCAAATTGTCATACATGTATCAGCACTACCCACTGCCTCACCCACACCTGCCCCGGTGTTCACATGTTGGAAGTTTTTCTGAAGATCTTCATCCTATTCTTAAAGGCTTATTTTCTACTTATCCTTCCCCAAAAGTCTCAGTCCTAGTCATTCTGTCATGTTACACTTTCTTGTTTTTTGGGGAAAAGAGCATAAGTAGGAGTCAGGCTGAGTTGCTAAGCTGCGCCTCCTGCCCAACCTTGGATCTCACCTCTACATCTGCCTTACCATCCTCATCAGCAAGAAAGAGCTTGCGTGCAGAGGAGACACAGGAGAAATACTCTGAGGCAGAGGGATTCTCTTCTGCTGCCTGACTCCAGACTGGGACCACCACACATGTCTCAGGAGCATCCTCTTGTGACTTCCAGAATTCTAGGGAATGAAATTTTTAAAAAATCATTGAGATATGGCATAATCTGGGGTTTGTATACATTCAGAAAAAGACATGTTGAGTGGACTTTTTGTGTTAGACACTGTTAACACCCATGGGACTTGTCAAAGAAATTAAGGTGACTTTCCCATTTAAAACTCAAAAATAGAAGTAAACAATAACAGTTATTAAAATTGCGTGTGTGGTGGAAGTCAGTGGGTTTGGGTGTATGTGATATTTTTGGACATGTATACAGAATATTGGAACCTGTGAACCACATGTAGGGTACAATATACAGTCACTAAAAATTAAGTATTATTAGTATCAGCTCAGTTTTTCTTATGAGAAATTGTGCAAATAAGGGATATGGACTGTAAGTTTTATGGAGACTTATGAATGTATAGCTATCTATATTGTTATCTATCTCAGTAGAAATGTACACAGAGAGGTGTAGATATGAATATAGATGAATAAGTAGATGGATGGATGGGTGGATGGATAGATAGATAAAACTTTTGAGAGTTCCCTAGGAACTGGAGGAATTCAAATGAAGACTTTGCAGACTTGTCCCAGACTCCTCTTCTGGAAATGTACTTCCAATATTTCTTCTAGATTATTGACCTTCCAATTCATATCCTTCAGAATCCTCTTCCAAAGAAGACAGGAAAGTGTACATGGTGCATTTCTGCCAATTGATTGGAAACAGAGTCCTGGGGAAGTCCTTGAGAGAACGGGTCATTTATGGTAGTGGCTGAGCAAAGGAGCTCAGTTCTAATTCTAGCCCAACATTCTGTCCCACATTTCCACCTGCTTCCTTCTCAGCCCCAACTCTTCTCCACTCCCATTCCATTGTGAATGAGCCTGTCTACAGAAGAGGCACAGGAGATGTATTCTGAGTCTGAGTTCTCTGCTGTCTGGCTGTGGCCTTGGGCCACCCCAGAGAGTCTTAACTGTGGAGTGTATTCATCTGAGTCTGAAATTCCTGGGGAAAAGAGGGAAAGTCATAGATGTGGTACTTTTTCACGTTCAACAAATAAGAAATACCATATGCAATGACACGCATGGCATTTTTCCTCATGAATATTGTGATGTAGTTACTATTTATAGCTCCAAAACCTTGGGCTACAGAAATACCTGTTGGAATGATGTGTCTGGGTAGGGCTGGATTACCCATGAGTGGCATGTGCTGTTTTGTGCAGTGCTTCAGAGGCTTAAAATCTTGCCTACCACATAGGAAGGTGGCCATATTACTTGTTATTACTATTTTTGTTTATCAGAAGAGCAAATGTGGTATATAGATAAAGTGCTTCTTTCACCTGAGATTATCATACAAAAGTCCTGCTGTTTCCTCAAAGAGTTGGGATTTACAGGAAAGAATCCACTGACTTCTGTTTCTCGTCTGCAAGATCCTCTTCCAGATATATGCTTTTGTGGCTTCTGTTGCCAGAGCTCAGCAGGACCCGCGCCTTGTGAGAACTGGTGGGTTCTGAGCTTGAGTGGAACGCTCCAGTGGGATCTCTAGGGCTGACTCCAGACTGCACCTCCCAACACTGGTCACAGATCCCCCCTAGGTGCTTGCTTATTCATAACTAGCACAGCGGTCACTCAGCCTGGTTAGTGGAGTCGCTGTCCTCAGTGACCCCTGTCCACACAGGGTCCTAAGTTTTCAGTCTCTACTTACTACATTCATAGCCTATCATAGAACCTTCCCAATTTACATGGACATTCTGAGTGGTTGTTTTTCTCCCATTATAATTTGTGTATTTTTTGAATCAACTCTATCTCTACCATGGACTTGTATGTATGTATAATGTATCACGGAGATCTCCAATTCGTTTTTCTTGCTTTTTCTTAATCTATATTTCTAATGGAAAGGCCTATGCCTTTGAATTCACAAGCTTCAGTAAATAAATTGGCAAATTCTAGTTCCTGACAAAATAATTCATAAGCACATTAAGTCTTTCCTCTGTTTAAAACCTCAATTTAGTTGAGAAACAACTTTTATTTCTCAAAACACTCTAAGAGTTTACCTCTTAGGTTGCTGGAGAGTATCTGGTATGTCATGTTGGATTGAAGATGGCAAAATTTAGTGTATATCCTAAATATTCTACAAAGAGTGTGTCATCTTTGGTAAGTATAGTTTGATGTATGTATGCATCTTTGTTTATCTCTCTTTTTTTGTTGTTTTTACAATTTTATATAGTGAATGTAGGAATATAGCCATTGTATGTGAAGGCAGCATTAGCATGGTGTGTTTGGATGTTTGCAGCATAGTTTTGGATTTTTCATCTTCATGTATCATGTGATCTGTATATTACATGCTATTGAAGTACAAGCAATTATATAATAACTTTTTCGGTTTACATGGAGACTGTGTGGATCTGAGCAATTTTGTGAGATCTTTAGAGATAATGAAAGTGTTATAGACGGGCTGACAGATGGATAGGAGAGAGATCATGTGAGCTCCTAGATTGTGGGGTTATGTGAAGTTACTAAGAAATTGGGGAAAGAAAGAAGTTTGAGAAAGGGCTCTATGATTGTGATAGCTTCTTGCATTGTTAATGAGAAATAGAATTCTATGAGAGTGGATTATTTGTATAGTTAGAGATTGTGGTGTCAAAAAAATGAGATTAGGAAAACGTAAGTTTGAGGAATGCATGTGCTGTCAAATGAGGATGTAAAGGTTTAATGTGTGAGGATATAGTTTTAATAAGTATGTCTGAGTTAGTAAGAAAATGGGAGTTGAGAATGAAGATTGAAGGGATGAATTTATAGAGATAAACTTGAGACCATACGATGCTGAGACTAGTTGATGTGGTAAACTCACATGTGCTTATACAGGTTGGAGGTTGGTAAATGCCAGAGTTTGAGACCTTTTTCCAATCTTCTGACTCATGAGAAGACATGAGTCAGGAACCTTTTCTCCTTTCTTGAAGAGGGAAGGAAGCAGAATCCACTGACTCCTCATTGCATGATTCATGCTGTGTACCTCTCTGGTTGTCAGAGAACTGCCCACAGTGGTGAACGTCTCAGGTTCATATTGGATGAGTGTTTCCTTGTTTCTCTGCTCAGACTGATTTTGTTAATTCACCATCTTCTCAAAATATCTCTGTTCTTATACCTTTTGCACTTTTGGACACTTATCCTTGAAATTTTCCTTGAAGCTGAAGATATATATGCATGCAATAAACATCCCCCGAGGAGAAACAGAGGACATTGTGTTCTTGCTGTGATGTGGGCATGGGTAGTATCAGCTTACGTCTCATATCAGCTTGTGGACAGGAGATCTTAACTAGATCTCACAGCCATAATTACATCTCCCATTCCACTCTCCACCCCCACCTCTAGTTTAGCTATCTCCACTTATGAGCATTTTTGTTCTCAAATGAAAATCAGGAGAAATATCCTGAGATAAAATTGTTTTTCTCTTCTTTCTGGAGTATATGACTAGACTGTGTGTCATCCTTTTGCATCTTCAAGATTTCTATTAAATTGAATGGAAATTGGAGAGATGTATCCAATCTTTCAACCATTCAGCAAATCCTGACTGCTCACTCTGTCCCAGACAATCATGGAGACTGCAATGTATTTTCTGGCCAAAGCTCCAAAATATAAGTATTTAATAATTTTTAGTTTTACCCAGGTGTTGGCTGGGGGGAGGCAATATATATATATATATTGTCTTTATAGAACTGCTTGTAGTATATGTGTCTTGAAACTATGCTGTGACATAAAGAACAGAAAATATCAGATATTCTAATATTTGATTATCTGATTATATATATGTCATTGTGGTTAACATATTTCATGATAGTTGTGTAAGACTGAATACTGTCCCTTGCCCAAATATGTCCATATCTTAATCCCTAGAACTGTGAATGTTACCTTATATGGCCAAGGGGGCTTTGCAAATGTGATTAAATTAAGAATATTGTGAAGGGAAGATTATCCTGGATTATATGGATGGGTTCTATATGTAATTCTGAAATTGCTAAGAGAAAGGCAAGAAGGTCAAAGGCAAGAGAAGAGATGTGACAAATAGAAGCAAGAGATTGGAGTGAAGAGTCAAAGGGGCTGCAAATCAAGGAGTGCAAGAAACCCTTAGAGCTGGAAGAACATTCCCCACTGATCCTTCAGGAGAAATCTGCCCTTCCAATGCCTTGATTTTAACCCCAAATTACATATTTTAGACTTCTAAATTCCAGTACTATAAGAGAGTAAATTCATGTTGCTTTAAGATAAGTTTGCGCTAATTTTTATAGCAGTTAATAGTAAATAAATCAGTATACTACCATAAATTAAGGATCTCCATGTACTCCATATAGAGCTAGGGACTTCCCCATGAGTATACCCTACTTATCTAATTTCTTCAGATTCCTGAATACAAGTTTACTCATTTGATTCAATGGCTTTATCCTTATTTTTGAGCAATAAAAGGGGCTTAGAACACTTTAAAATTCCAGCCACTATCTTACATGTTATTGTCATCCAATACTTTAATATCACATATTTTATCAGTTTTGATTTAGTGATTACTATTTTTGGTGTATAAGTCATCAAAGCTTACATTCAATTATAGACTTACCCACTTTCTTTGCTCACCATTTGTTCCTAGCTGTCATATTTCTTCTGTGTTCAGTTTGATTTTTCTGAATAAATTCTTTTTATAAATGTTAGTTATTTTTTATTTTCTATCATTTTTATCTTAAAACATCTTTATTTCTCTCTTATTTTTGTAGGATTATGATTGTTCTTTATCTTCAGCATAATATTTTATATTGTTATTAGGATTCTGTGACTGCTTTTGAAACGTTTATTGTGTGATAAATCATTTTTTAGAAGCTATTTTGTGTTTATCTTTGTCTTAAGGTCTTTGTTATGGGATTCTGAATTTTTTTTTTTAATTGTGTTTTATTTTATTTTATTATTATTTTTTTTATTTCGGCATATTATGGGGGAACAGATTTTAAGTTTCAATAAATGCCCTCCCCCCCACAAGTCTGAGTTTCCAGCATGACCATCCCCCAGATGGTGCACATCTCACTCCTTATGTATATATATACCAACCCCCCTCTCCCTCCCACTTGCCCAATACCCTATTACTGTAGTACCTATGTGTCCACTTAGGTGCTACTCAGTTAATACCAGTTTGCTAGAGAATATATCTGGTGCTTGTTTTCCATTCTTGGATACTTCACTAGTAGTATGGGTTCCAGCTCTAACCAGGAAAAATATAAGATGTGCTATATCACCATTGTTTCTTAAGCTGAAATATACTCCATGGTATACATATACCACATTTTATTAATCCATTCTTGGATGATGAGCACTTGGGCTGTTTCCACAGCCTTGCAATTATGAATGTGCTGCTATAAACATTCGATGCAGGTGTCTTTTTTGTAGAGTGTCATTGGATCTTTTGGGTAGATGCCCAGCAATGGGATTGCTGGATCAAATGGTAGATTCACTTGTATCGCTTTTAAGGTATCTCCATATGCTTTCCACAGAGGTTGAACTAGTTTGCAGTCCACCAGCAGTGTAAGAGTGTTCCTCTCTCTCCGCATCCACGGCAGCATTTATTGTTCGGAGACTTTTTGATAAAGGCCATTCTCACTGGAGTTAAGTGATATCTCATTGTGGTTTTGATTTGCATTTCCCTCATGATTAGAGATGTCAATCTTAGAGAAAGTCCCATGAGCTGATGAGAAGAACGTATATTCAGTGGATTTTGGGTAGAATGTCCTGTAGATGTCAGTCAGACCCAATTGTTCACGAGTTTGTTTAAGTCCATTATTTCTTTATTAATTTTCTGTTTGGAGGATCTGTCTCGTGCCGTCAGTGGGTGTTGAAATCTCCAGTGATTATGGAGTTGCTATTAATCCATTTGCTTAGCTCCAGTAAGGTTTGCTTTATGAATCTGGGTGCACCTAAGTTGGGCTGACTATATATTTAAAATTGTTATCTCTTCTTGTCGAACTGTGCCCTTCACCATTATATAATGACCCTCTTTGTCTTTCACTACTTTTGTTGGTTTAAAAACTAAATCGTCTGAAATTAGAACTGCCACACCAGCCTCTTTTGCTTCTATTTGCTTGGAATATTGATCTCCACCCTTTTATTTTTAGTCTATATGCATCCTTGCAGGTTAGATGTGTTTCCTGAAGACAGCATATACTTGGCCTGTATTTTCTTATCCATTCAGCCAGCCTATGTCTCTTGAGTGGAGAGTTTAAGCCATTCACATTTATTGAGAGAACTTATAGGTAAGGTAGATTACTGTTCATTCTGTTGGGTTGGATGTTGTTGTTATGATTTCTGTCTTGAGCCATTGTGATATCTGGCCTTTAATATCTTGGGTTTGGTTGTTTTTATATTCGTGGATATTATTATGATGTTCCGTGCGTAACGCTGTTTTAAGTACTTCTTGTAGGCTGTCTTGTCTTGTGAATTCTCTGAGCCTTTGCTTATCTGAGAATGTCTTTATTTCTCCTTCATATACGAAGCTTAGTTTTCGAGGGAATAATATTCTAGGCTGGGAATCTTTGTTTCAAAGAGTGAGAATGCCCAGCCTTCCTGTCTTGTAAAGTCTCATTAGAGAATCTGGTTTATTCGAATGGGCTTTCCCTTGTATGTCACTTGCTTCTTCATCTTACAGCTCTTAAAAGCTCCTTATTGATACTTTGGTCAGTCTATGACTGCATGTTGGGATATCTTCCGTTTGCAATTGAATCTCCAGGTCCTCTGAGCTTCTTGAACTTGTATATCAAGATTTTGAGCAACCGAAATTTCTCTATTATATCCAAACAGCTTGTCCAACCCTTGACTGTTATCTTCTCCCTTCTGTAACCCTATGACCCTCACGTTAGGTTTCTTCACATAATCCCACAGCTCTGTGTAGCTTTGCTCTTTTCTCTTGTTTCTCTGCTCTATTTCTGTGACTGATTATTTAATTGTAGGGGTTTATCTTCAAGCTCTGAGATTCTTTCTTCGTTTGATCTACCCTGTTCTTGAGACTTTCCACTGTATTTTGTAGTTCCTTGAATTGATTCTTCATTTCCAGGAGTTCGGTTAAACTTTTCTTCATTGTGTCCATTTCTTTTTCCAGATCCTGGAGGCTTTTTGTGGTTTCTTTGTGTTGGTTATTGAGTTGTTGTTGTTGCAGCTCGGTGAGTGTTCTTATGATCCACAGAGGAAATTCCTCTTCTGTCATTTTGGTTGCCTGATTTTGGTTGGTGCCCCTTTCTAGGGGGCTGGGGTTCCTCTTTGGGGGAGAGTTTTCTGTTTGGTTCTTCATGTTTCCTGAGTTCCTTCGCTGATTTCTTCCCATATCAATCAGTTGTTGTTTCTTTTCTTTAGGTTTTTGTTTGGGTATTCACATGCCTTGTTTAGTTTCTGAAGCCGGAAGGTGTGCTGTGTGAGAGTCGTCCACTCCCTGTCCTGATAAGGGTGTGCAGAGCCCCGTAGAGTGCGCTTGTGAGGAACAGGCTACACTGTTGTTTTTATGCCCTGTATCAGCTCTTGTTCAGAGAGAACTCTAGTGCCCTCAGGTGGTGGGTGCCCTGGGACTTCTAGGTGTGTCCTTCTCCCCTTCAGTGAGGCTAGTCTAGGAGAGAGTCTGGGCAGAGCTGGTTGGTAATCCTGCCCTCAGCAACACCAATGTCGTTAGCAGGGTCAAATTCTGTTCTTTGCTTCCAGGCAAAGCTTTCAGGTCGGGGCTGGAATGCCCCGGCTCAGTCAGAGAGTCTGCGTGTGGGGATGGGGCTGTCTGAGACTCCCAGTCTGGAGCGGGCCTGGCTTCTTTCCACTGTCCCCAACTCCGCAGCTACTGCTTGGCCTCTGCCCACAGGCCAGACCACATGCCACCACTCCTCCCCTGGCTGTGCTACCTGCGGGGAGGTTCCCTACGCGGGAACGCCACCTGGGCTGGGTGCAGGGCCTCCCTTTGGGGGGAGGGTTGCCCTCTAGGATGCTGATCTGCCCCTGAAGGCACACACACCGCAGTAGGCTGTTCACAAATATCCCTTCTGTGCTCCAGGCAATGCGAGGCCTTGGTGCACAGGATGTGCGGTCTTGCAAGCGCTGACCTCTGGGTCCCAGAGTTCAAACTATATCACCACCAGGGAGAGCAGTGCCAGTCCCAATTCACCCACAGGGAGCCCAAGTTGCGTCTATGTCTCTCAATCTCAGAGTCTGCCCCGTTCTCCTGGGATCACCGTGGCAGCAGCACCTGGGAGGGCTGGCAGGTAGGGAGCTCACAGTCTGAGTTCCCCTTAGTCAGCTGTAGGGCCCCAAAATGGAAGGTCCTGTTCCCTGTAGGTGCCTCCGGCTGGTGGCTATATTGTCTCTCTGTCTCTCTGGGCAGCCGTGGGTAGGGTCGGCGGAGGGGAGGAGGAGGCAATATGGCGTCTGCCGGGCGGCTCGGTTCTGTGCACACGGAGGTGCCCCGAGGGAGCTGGGAGCCCGGTGCCTCATCTGCCACTGGCTTACTGCTCACTGGCAGTGGCCGTCGCTGGGCTGGTGTCTGCAGGTCTCTCCACACGCTGGGGAGCCCACCAGCAGTCCGGGATGCAGGGGAGGGGAAACGGCCGATACTTCCCGCTGGTCTCCAGGCTGCTCCGGCGGTCCCAGCTTCCAGTTCTCCTCCGTGACCTCCTCCCGTGGAGTCTCCCGTGGTCTCAGGTACTCCTCCTTCCGACCCTCATCCGATGTAGGCTCGTCTTCTTGTTCTTTCTTCTGATTTCTGCTAGAATCTATCTTTTCTGCAGAGACACTCTGTCTGGTGGTGTTTCTCATCTGCCATCTTTTTTTGGCCTCTCTGAATTTTTGATATAATATGCTTAAGTGTGGATTTATTTTTGCCTATCTTGTAATGAGCTTATGATGTTTGTGCCCTAATTCTAAAGATTTGTCTTTCCTTAATTCTGGAAAATTCTCAGGCATGATATCTTTGATTATCTTTTTTTATTTTTATAAGACTCAATTTGATATATATCATATTTTCATAATCTATCCTCATTTATCTTAATTATATCTTCATATTTTCTATTTATCTCTGTTATTTATATTGTAGGTAATCAGCTGTATGATATAGCTTACTGACTTCCTTTTATGTCTTATTTACTATTTAATTTATCCATATTTTTAAAATTTCTGGGACAATATTTTTATTTTTGAAACTATGACTTGGTTATTTTTTAAAACTATTGTTAACACTTTTAGTATTTTAATTATATTTTTACATCTCTAATGGTTTTAAACATACTTATTTGCAACAAAATTATTCCACTAAAGTCTCTTCTTCAGAGTTAAAACATGTTGTTTGTTGTGTTTGAAGAATCTACCTTATAGTTATGTGTGTTTTGTGGTTTTAAATTGTGAACTCATCCTACGCAAGTCATTATGTATAGGATACTTTTAAGCATGATTGACTGACCATTCATAACTCCTCTACATTTTCTATGGTCAGACATTCCTAGGGTACTACTAGCTATGGTTTCATTTTATATTAATTCTTCACTTTTAAATTTAATCGACAATACAGCAACTGTGGACACTGTGACTATTAATTTCATCTCCCTATATATGAGATATTTTTCCCAAAATGTATCTATATAGTTCCCTCTCCTACAAAAATGAAAGAATTTGTGATGAGTTTTGGTTAATGATACAAAAGCAGAGATCTAGACTCCCACTAAGAGGGGAGTAGGAGAAATTTTGACTCGAACTGAAGAATACTTTTCTATGAGTGACTGATCCTAGATACCGAGGTGGACTCGTGTAGGTATGGTCAGACTCCCACTGGGCTGATATGCCTAGACTTACTGTTCCACATTCATCCTTACCAGAATAAGACAGCATGTACAGAGAGGAATCACAGGAGAAGTATTCTAATTCAGAGGACGAGTCTCTTGCCTCATGGCCCCGGGTATTGTCCTCCAAAGAGTACTCAGATTGTGGACCATATTTGTGTAGGTTTGAGATTCCTGGAAAATGGAACAAAGGTCATAGATATTTATTGGGTATTGGGTTCATTCATTCATTTGTTTAACCATCAAATATTCTGAATATTATGTGCTAAGTTCTGAGAACAGACATGGCTCATGATCTCATAGGACATAAAATCTATATCCTGCTAAAACCTCTAACATATATGTACTCAGAAATATTTGTATTATTGTTGGATGCTGGGGTTTGGATAAAACTTCATCAATTTGAGTCGAACTGCATACCACCTACTAATGCTGTAATCCTGACCGCTGGAATTTATGAGGTAACAGAACTATTGACTTCCACTATTTGCCAAACTTTTCTTTTGAAAATCTGTTCACAAAGAGCCTAGATGCTTTCACACTCCAGTCCTTTGTTCCTAGGGCACAATTTTATAAACAGAAGAACCAAAATCTTTGAGCAAACTGCAGAGCTCCATATAGGGAAAAATGTTTACAGCTGGCCCAGCTGGTTCCATTTCTCCCTCTTCATACCACTGTTCTTCCTAGCCTCCCCCTCCCCCACCTCACACAGAGCTACTGATGTTGTCCAGACCAGTGTCTCTAGCTTTGGGCAAAGAACTGGAGTAATTAGGCATTCTGTGCTTCTACCTGGCCCTTGCCCTCAAGGCTCTTCATACCCACTAATCTTGGTTAAAAATTTGGGTACAGTTGTCCTTCCATCACATTTTTCACATTTTCACCCTCTGCCTCCAATACCCTAAAAATTCACAACCTCAGATGAAACAGTCGGCAAATTTTTATTTTTGAAAAAATTAAATATTTGTGATTTTATTATGTCAGTGCCTTAGTTTCAAAAGTTAACCAAGCTCGTCACTCATTATTTAACTGTTCAAGATTGTCTCTCATTAATGTGCCTAACATGTTTATTATGTGTACAATTCAGTAACGTAGTGTGTGGTGAATACAGTGTGCTTGCTGTATATAGGTTCATAACATGTTGGTTAAAATTGGGTTATGGGTTAATGCGTGATTGTTTTGGTGTTTGAAAATGTAAATATGGGGTGAGTTTTGTTTGCATGGGAATGGTATGTTGATTTGTGTCTCTGTTTAACACATATGTTTGTGTGTTTATCACATCTCCTATCATTATGGATTTGTGTGTGTGTTATTTGCTGTTATGTGGTTTAGCTGTGCAATGTAATTAGTGGGAATGTTCTCTTTGAGGCTAGAAGAATTAGTGTATTTGTGAAATCTAAGAGAATAATGAAAGAATGTGAGGATGTGAAAAATCAAAGCGCATAAGTGAAAGAATATATGAGGTTTGAGCATACATGACTGTGTAAAGAGCAAAAGTAGATGAGTGTGTAAAGGAGTGTGTAAGATTAAGTGGATAGTAACGTGATTGCATTATAAAATAAAATATGAAGATTGGGTTCCGAAAGGTATAAGATAGAAATATACAAACTCTTAGGCTTTCACCAGACATAAATACATGTCAATATAGCAAAATACATGCAATAACATGTCTAGTACAATAACACCCCTTTTTTAGTGTCTCCAGAACAAAAGCAAAGTGTAATCAATAAAGAAATTATTTGTATTCATACAATGGAATACATGCAGCAATAAGGATGAACAAACTATAGTCACATACAACATGAATAGATTGCACAAATTTAATGATGTTTGAAAGGAGCAAGACACATCATTGTATATTTGTAGAATATAATATATTGTATATACTGTACACTTGTATTTATATAAAGCTAAGAAACAAGAGCAATGACTCTAGGGTCATTTATAGAAGTTAGAATAATCATTTCTCTTGAACTGGTAGGGAAAAAACCAAGTATAGTGAATTTGTATGCATGTGGAAGATTACATGGAATTGAGAAATGAGGTCAGAGAGTACAGAGAGGTAGGTCTGTATAGGGATAATTGTGAGAATATTGGATGTGAAAATATATGGATATGATGGGGTCTTGGACTGGGTGTCTCTATATTGTGTCTCATGTTCAGCTCTTGAGGATCTCATTGGCCTGTTTTTAGTTGGTGATTTTACACCTTGCGGATAACATACCCTCTTCTGGCTCATACTGACATACTCTTCCTATATGTCCCTGATCAAACTCTTTTCCCCTTAGTCTCTCCCACACCATTTCCACAAGTAGAACTTGGTTCTCCGCTAATCTCCTTCAGCTTGCTCCAGTCCTCTTAGGTGATTTTTCTTTTGAATTTCTTGCTTCCCCTGCTGATCATATTTAAAGATATGGAGAAGTGTTTTGAGTTTCTGTTTGGACCGAGCAGCTCTGTATCAACTGCTGGGCAGAATCACTCGACTCATCTCTGGGCTATGCCTAGACCCCAGCCTCCCTCTGCATTCTCTCAGTAGTCCCTCCATACCAGCACCAGTGAGCTTGTCTGCAGATGAGATGCAGGAGAAGTAATCTGAGGAAGAGGAGGAAGCCTCCCCTGCTTTCTCATCTTGACTCGGGGCCAGCACCTCGTGTCCACACAGCAGAGCATCATTTTGTAAATTCAATTTTCCTGAGAAATTAAATAAGATATGTGGTCCATGTTCTGTGTATTTATCCATCCTTAAAGGAACAATCAGAGTCTACTATGTCACATGTTCAGTGAAGACACATGGCTTTAATGCTCATGGATAGCATTATCTAGGGCTTACTACTGATAATTTTAGATTACCACTTGATAGTAGAAATGTGGATTAATATTTATTGTGTCAATATACATCATGGATGACTGGATTTGCACAAGGTGTGTTCTTTGTGGAACAGAAAAAAATGGAGCAGTGACTGCTAGCTATCTCCTTTCCACCCCCCATACTACTGGATTATATTTATCAACCTCCGTTGTAGTTAGTTTTCATCATATGACTAAGTTTGCTGTGATAGAAAATGAGTGGAAATGACCTTTGTCACTGCCAGGCATAGTCATAGGAACCTGTTTACCCCTCCGTGTTCTTCCCTTTTCTAGCTGAAGAGGATGTTGACAACTGAGGGCCTCTTTGAAAGGTTCATGTTAGTAATGACAAAGTTTCCATTAGTACAAACACATGAATTACCTTATGGAGAAGACTTACCTCATTTACCTGTACATACACCCTAAATTGTTACATAGGGAAGAAGTAGATTCATCCTGTATTAGTTACTATGGCATGGTCTACTCTAACTAATGAATTCAGAGTGTAAATTGTTTTTGAGGGACAAATAATTGAAACTAATATATAGTAAGTGTGCAATTAAGTTAGATATTAATATTTATCTTCCTTTGGCTTATTTATATGTTTAATGTGTATATATGTGAATAGGTGAGTATGTGTGTTTTTCATGCCTCACAGTTTATACTCAAAATTATCTTCATATATGCACTAATTTTACTAAAGGTAAAATGAAGACAGCCTCACCCCCCCAGGCTTTCTCCAAGGGGTCATTGGGAATATGCAAAAGCCACAAACTTTGCTGAAAATATCAGATTCTTTTCAGGAATATGAGCCACTATTTATAACACCAGGATTAGCTCCAATCTGGGCTCTTCCTATCCCTAAGCAATGATTCTCCCTCATAGCAGCTACTTGTTTATTGCTAACCTTCAGATAATCACAACTATCTAGCTCCTATCTTTCCAGAAAGAGCTGAACCCCATCTCCTCAATTCAACCATCATCTCTAAATGGTGGTGTGTTTGTGTGTGTGTGTGTGTGTGTGTGTGGTGTTTTTTCTTACATGTTACATAGGACATATTTACATCCTCATAGTCTGAAACAAGACAGACTTATGGCAACATTTACTTCCCTAATACTCTCAGAAAGATATCGACTAAAGGGAAATGCATTTTTATAGAAAAATCAGTATAGACTAACCAACCACTGTGTCTATGACAGCAATCCAGAATGACCTTGTGTAGTTAGCACAGGCCTTAAGATGCAGCAACGAGGACCTGGGACACCTGAACCTTCTTTCTACTCTCAGACTATCTGGGTGCTCAGGAAGACTGGTATACACACATACATCCCTCCCTCCCTTTCTTCCTCTCTCCTTTAGTCACTTCCCCCCTCGGTCTATATGTTTTTCTCCTCTCTTCCTCCACCACAGCTTGGAATCCTCTCCTCCTCCCCTTTTAGAAGGCAATTCCTGGTTACCCTATGCTCAGAGAATACGCTGACACAAACCTCTTGACATCTTTGCAGTCTGAAGGGAGTATGCACTTTCCAGATGTTTTCTTTTTTGTTTCTGCTTCATAGTTCAACTCTTTGGAGAGTCACTCAAATCGGGCACCTTTCTTTCTGAAACTCAGTTCTCAGAGAGCCAACCGATGATGACAAATCACTGTTCTGACTAGTGCTCAGTCATCAGCACTGTGACAGTACAAACCATCACTAAGGACTCAGCAGTCTTCTATGATCTATTGATGACATCAGTGCATTCCAGGGACTCAGCTAGTATTCACACGACTGCAGGATTGCCACAACCCATTGCCTATGGTGATTACTTTTATCCAATGGAAACTCTATCATTAACTTGAATGTTTACATATTATACTTGATACCAAAACTAGAAGATGGATGACTTGGATTAAACACAGAAAATTCTTTTATGTGTCTAGGGATATCACATTACTAATTATCTCCAAGAGTGAGGATAAAGTACTACTTGAGAGGATTAGGCTTAGAACCATGCTTGTTTCTTAAGAAATAGTAAATATTATATCTTATTAGTAGTGCTATTTAACTCATGTGCTCCTTCACTGTCTAAAGTCCCATGGTACCTACCTCTGCATGATATTTCTCATCTCTTTGCTTTTGCTCAATCTGTCCTTTCTGTCTTGAAAACTCACATAACATCCTGGACTTGTGATTGTATTTGTTAGAGTATATGGTTGATTGCTCAAATTTAAATTTTTCAGGTCAGGGATTTTGGTGTATACATCTCTGTATACCCATTCTATCATGGTATTGGTGGCCTAGTATCCTCTTTCCAGCAAAAAGAAAAAAATCATACATGGATAAACATAAAATTTTAAGAACAATCAATTCTTAATAAATACAGCATACATGAGCCTTACTGGAAAGGGTATCCAGAAAATTTTGCATGACAACAAAATTCAACTAACCAAGAGGTTATTAAAAAATAATCCCTTATATGCTATGACCATGGTAAAATGACTCAAAATAAGCATCAAATCCACTTAAATGCAAAAATAAGAAGAACCAATATGGAGATTATGATTACAGAAGACAATACAAATTTTAAAAATGTCTACAAAGTAGGGCTGGGCATGGTGGCTCATGCATGTAATCCTAGCACTTTGGGAGGATGAGGTAGGAAGATTGCTTAAGGCTATGTGTTCAAGACCAGCCTAAGCAAGAGCAAGACCCTATCTCCACAAAAAATAAAAAATTAGCTGGAAGTGGTGGCATGCTCCTGTAGTCTCAGCACTCAGGAGGTTGACGCAGAAGGATGGCTTAAGCCCAGGAGACTGAGGTTACAGTGAGCTATGATGATGCCACTGCACTCTAGCCTAGACAATAGAGCAATAATCTGTCTCAAAAAATATTCTACAAAGTATGGAAATAGCCCTCAAAACTAGGATATAGAGATAGAAGAGATGGATAAAAGATGTGTTAATTTCTTCTTCATTAACGTCATGATTTAATTGATGCTACTAATAGTGACACTTAAAATTATACCGAACTCAATATTTTTAATTTTAATTTTTAATTACAAGGAGCATTTTAAGTATTAATAAACTTGAGCTTAGGAAACGATTAAAGTTTAACAACACTGTTAGATTCATTCCAATGTCATTTTTCTGATGTACTCAAATATTATTAAATGTAATGTGTTAATTATAGTATAATTCAATTTCTACAAAACAACTTCTAATTCTCTCTCCATCCATCCATTCAACTCTACATAAATGCATACATTTTTAACAGCTTTATGGAGGTAAAATTGATGTGTAGAAAAGTGTGCATATTTAATGTATGATAGATAGTATCTATCTGTCCATTTATCTTTGTATTTACATATAGTCATAGATACAGATATTCATTTGGGATAATATTGAACTAATGTTAAAAATGTTGACATTCAAGTAGTGGATTTAGAGTAGTTTTTAAACTTATAACTTTTAATTACTTTTGAACTTCTATTTTGATATATATCAGTACAAAAACCCTAACTTTATGCTAAAAGTAAAAGAAAATAATGTAAATCTAGAGGACATATCCTGAAAACATTTGTGTAATTAGCTTAGCATTTCTTTTCTGAGTACTTATTTTTGTAAGTACTGTTGCTTAATAATAAGTTATTACATATCCAAAATTTTCTGATTTTTTAAATAGAGAATAATAGTCCTGATGAACACTTTTATGTGACTTTCCTCTTATGAACATGAGATGGAATACATCTTGTTATAATTCTGTAAATGTCAACCAACAATGATCAATAGAAGCACAGAAAACATTCAATAACATTATTGACCTACTCAATTGGGTACATTATCCAATGTTATGCAATGTGTATGTATATAACCAGATAATTCATGACTGTCCAATGGTCAAGGCTACTAATTCTCAGGACCAGAGAGAGTAATGTTCTTTTTGCAGCAAATGAACACCTACTTTTTTGAAAGTGTTTCCAGACTTTTTTTTTTTTTTTAAATATGTCTTCTAACACTTAATGATAACTCAGGCTCTGGCACGAATTCTTCTAAATGAACAGCTACGGTTTAGATAAAGTGGAGCTTAGTCAGTGATAAGTTATCTCCAGCTGAATTTTTAGTGGGGAAAAATAAATCCTTAAAAAATAAAACATTCACCAAAATGTAAATCTTAAAAGTTCAGGGTCTGTGGGCTACCTTGTTAACTGTTATATACCTAGTATTAGCAATAGTCATAAACATTTAACATTACTGATCAAAGATTTTTATAAATCTGTAAGTGAATGAAGGTGAATGAAACCAGATAGTCCAAAGCATATTGACATTTTTTCTGGGTTTAATTAGTTAACTTACATTATTAGAAGAAACAATACATTTCATAATAGAATATATTCACACAGAATATTATAGCTTAAAAACAGATTTCTTAATATATACACCATTTCATTTCTTCTCACAACTGAGTAAATATTAGTTACAATTTATAAAGAGGAAAGGGTAAGAAAAGCCTCAGAGAGGTAAGCAATCCTCTTAGTTATATAACTAGCAAGTGTTGCAAGGGTCTCTACTAACATGAAATGAAACTGAATTGGTCTTGTCTTGATCCCTAGGAAAGGCTATATTTTGTTTTGAACGCTACTCTCAGTAATACAGTGTGTAAACTTACTAGAGCCATTACATATCAGTGGAAACTTTAACTTGAATCAGCTCTGGGATTTTTAATAATACTAGACTTTTTAACACTCTCACACAGCTGACTTTGTAGATGTCAAAGACGCTGACTAGAATAGTACTTGCTTGCTGCCACCCTCAAGGGTAGGCTTGGGTAATAGACTTCACACTCTCCTTTAACATGCAATCTGTACCAATTCTCTCTTTTGAAGTAAAGCTGTCCAAAGAAAAGTGTGAGGCTTAATACAAGGAAGAAAAGCAAAAAGTGAAAAGAAGGCTATATTTTACCATTCTCCCTTTTTGTCTACTTGGTCTTTGTTTCCGACAACTGGTGGAGGGTGGAATAGAGGTCAGAGGATTGGGTGAGAAAGAGAAATGTGAGATAGATTAGTACCCCAAACCCTTCCTCAATCCACTCCTTATAAGACCACCATAACTCTGTACTGAGAGTGTAGCCTGAAAGAAGAGACAAGTGAGGCTAGTCTATAAAGGCCTGGCTTGAGTCAGATTTGTAAATGTAAGGCAGAGTGGTTTAAGAACCTGGGCTTAGGTAAAAAAGTTTAAATCACCAATCTGTCATTTAGTACCTATTGAAGTTTGGGCAAGCAAGTTGAACTTTCTATGTGTGAGATTCTTTATCTTAAAATGGTGGCAATCCTATGGAGTTGAGGATTCAATGATAAAAATCTTAATACATTTCCTGGATGATTGCTAACACTCAATAAATATATTTCAAAGGTTAACTGGATACTGAGTGATTTCACATAAATTATGAATATAAAAATTACAAATCTCATTTCAATTAAAATGTCAGGGTTTCAAACTGAAAATTTGGTAAACGCAAACTGACATTTGAAATAGCCAATTTACTTTCATCAATTATTGTTTAAATATTTTCACATCTTAATTTTATTGATGGAAGTCATTTTAGACAATTTCCTTTCTTTGTTCTCTTTCATTAGCCCCAGATGGCAAATCTCGTTTGCCTTTGACAATCTTATGAAAGCATTTCTTCTCTAAAATATTCTTGTAAATTGGTATTGTGCTGTTTTGATGAATATGCTTCTACTTCCTTCATTTAAATGCACTTTAAAATGGGTGCTCTGACAGATTAGATGTAAAAAGTTCTGTCTGTTTTCTGGCAATGACTGTCTTTTACCACCTGTGGTGATAAAAAAAAACATCTTACGGTGATAAAAGGATATTTAACATTTCATTATATCAAATTACCTGTGGTTAAGCTTCTTTATGAGAGTTTGCATAGTAGGAAAAAGGAATGTTTTACAAGTTTTTAATAAACTAACTCAATCATCACAGAAGAAAATAGTTACTAACCAACAGATGGTTTGTAAACATAAATCTTGAACAGAGGCATCAGTGCTAACTGCCTGGTGCCAAGATTTGAGATTTCTTGGGGATCTATTTTATTTTAGTCTATTATTTTTTAAACTATTATAACAAATTGATATTTATTTGTATAAATTATCTCTATACTCATAATAAAGTTACTACTTTAGTTTTGCTAACAAGAATAGTTTTTGCAAAGGTAAGCTATTTCAAATAGCTACAATTTCCTCATATTTTTCCATTGTTACTTTAAATAATCTTGACACTTAGTTTCAAGGCAAAAAACCATAAAGCTGAATCTGTAAAATATACTTTATGATAATTACAATGAGAAGATTTGAGATAGCTATAATCCCATAATATAGAGGAAACAGTTGGGGGGCATGTTATTAAAACTCAATTTAAGTGTTTATTTGATTTGTCAAATGCTTATATAAACATAACTTAAACACAACTGAAAAAGCAAAAAAGGACAAGAAGAAACATGTTTATAACCTCTCCAAATAATCTTATTCAAATACAAGTTTAAATAATATGCTAGTAACAAAACAATAACTTTTAGACAAAAACATTCACAGAGGCACTAATAAATAATCAAATGCAATCTTTCCCCCTGGATCGACAATTTTGGATTGCTGTTCTTTTCACCTCTGGCTTTACTTCCCATGAAGGATGAATAGGCAGCTGCCTTTGCTATTTTGCATTTTCAAGTCTTCTCTTTGTGTGCTCTTATTCAACCAGTCCTCAATCTGAGGTACATTTTGTTGAAAACCTAGAGTTTTGATTTTAAGAGCCTATTCT